CAACAGAGCCTCAGTGAGTCTTGAAGGAATTAAATAATACAAGATATTGTTTAGGCACAGGAAATGCCAAATAAATTAAGTCATGATCTTATGCACAGGAAAGGGACTATACAAGTCCAAGGAGAGAACTTTTCAGCTTGAGTGAAAAGATCAGAACTTTCATGCTCAATATCTGTAAAATTTCTTACCACTGGCTAATCTCTCTTTTGAAACTTACTTTCTTGGATTCCAGGATACTCCATTCTAATTTTTCCCATCTTTAGTCTCAGACTAGGCTCTTCTCATTTTATCTAATTCTGTTATCTTTCTCTTCACCCTAAAGTAGGTGTCCCCCAATGTTTAATCTTAGACCCTTTCTCAGCTTCATAATTTTATAAATTCTCTCTGGCTGTATGTCTACAATCATTTCTCTGTGTTTGATATTCAAATCTGCCTGCCTACCTAGCCATGAGCTCCAGACTAATACCTTCAATTATCTCCAGGGAGACAGCTCATTAACCACTCAAGTTTTAACTAAAACCAAAATTTAACTTATTAACAAAACATGTTGTTCCTCTCGTATTCCTTATACTGATTAATATCAGACCACTTGGTCCACTGTCAACTTAAGCTATGTGTAGAAATGAAAAAGCAGAGGTGAACTTTGTTATTATTTTGTTCATTGCCACCTTTCCAAGGATAAATAAGACCATTTTCCATGTATTTTAATCCTCTATTAGGCTAATCAACTGTTCTTTGATATAATACCAATTTTTATAAAAATGGTAATCACGCCATGTGATCCATTTCTATAAGAATGTTTTGCAAGCTTTAGTGTGCACAGGAATTTCAATAATACCAGTGATTAATATTTATTGGATGCACTATTATAAGATCTTCCCACAATTATTTCATTTAAGCATCACAAAGATAAAGTCATTCTCATGTAAGCATATTAAAAATAGAAATTTTGATGTAGTAAGTCTGGTTTGAGACCCAAGGGTCTATATTTTTAACAAATATTCAAATGTTTTTGATACATTTAGGGCATTAGATTCACTATTTTATAGAGTATCTCTTTAATATGCCAGTAAGTTTTAGTTCCTGACATCATTGTGTTAATTCATGACTCATCTCTCTCTCTAAATATGTCACTTTCTATTTTTCTTTACAACTGCAATCTTTCCCCTCTGTGAAAATTCTGTACTCTGTCATTAGCAAGTTTTTTCAGGCCCCTCAGTTCACTAGAATAGAATTGCTTTGGCTACGCATAGTTGTACTATCTCAAATATATTCAAATAGTTGAGCTATATTACGATGGATAATGCAACACTGTCCATATATTCCTATTTATTTTAAAACTCTGGCCTTTTAATTTAAAATACATCTGATAAGTGATATTGGTTATATTATAATTAGATTATAATGTTCTCAATTCCAAGAAAATTCCTTCTAATAATTCTAAACACAGAGGCAACCAATTTTAAACAAGCAGAGATTCACTAAGTTAAATAAAATTAAAATAAACAACCCCAAAATACTGGTAGCTTAATATATTAATAGTCTATTTCTCCTTCTTGTGTCATAGTTAATAGACATATACATGGCACGTGTTCGTTTACAGCATGTTGGGGAAGAGGTGTGATGCTGATCTGCTTCACATCATCATTTCCAGCGGTTCAGCCATCTTCTACGAGTCTCTTAGTGTATGCGTAACATTCCTTTAAATGATTCCCTAAAAGCCTCAGATTCTACTTCCATTGTATACAAACTATTAAGATTGTGTTTTCCTGAAAAAGAAATCACTGAATCTAAATAAACTGGAAAATCTTTAATAGAAAAACCTTTTTATAATTGTAATTTTCCAGCATGCAAATAGGGTAAACATAGGCAGCAATGTATAAAACTATAGTTTAAATTTTAATAGTAATTCACCTTTAAGGGATAAAAGAAGGTTACAATCTATAGCTCAAAAACTTGCACATCTTGCAGGAAAGGAACAAAACTTTATTTCACCATATTACAGAGACTAAAAATAACTAGCCATATAAAATATTATCAGTTATTCGTCAGGCTCCCTGCTCAGCAGGGAGTCTGCTTCTCCCTCTGACTCTCCTCCCTCTCATGCTCTCTGTCTCTCATTCTCTCTCTCGCAAATAAATAAAATCTTAAAAAAAAAAAATTTAAAATATTATCAGTTATTAATACCTCAAATGTTCATGTCCTATCTTGGTAAATCCTATGAAGCTAGTAAAGTCTGATACACTAATGTGAATGTCCAGATAGCACAGCAATACTTTAACTCATAGTGTCCATTTAATGTGAACTATGATTCTAGGGTACAAAAGACCAATTAAAGATGAGTTGGGAAGTATTTTTCCAGCCTCATGAATGAGAACAGACCCAGTGCACATTACCATTTGGTTCCTAAAGCTTATCTAAATAGTCCGACCTACCAGAGAACTTATAAAATAAATGCAGCTCTTGTGACTCAATTCATAGAAAACTATTCCTATATGAGGGCTCAACATTTCCCACTGACTTTTGTCTTTTTATAGTAGTTATTTCAAATAGCTTTTTCCTTACTCTAGTAAATAATCTGAAATTTAAGAGAAACTGAATTTGGCAAGCTAGGCTAAATTAATCGGAAGAGAGTTGATCATAATGAAATGGGATGATTCCAAATAGTATCTGAATTCTGTTTCACTTGCCTACCAGCATCCCTGGCTCTTGAAGAAGATATTAAAAGGAGACACTCCAGGGGTATCTGGGTGGCTCAGTCGGTTAAGCATCAGTTCTTTGATATCTCAGGTCATGATCTCAGGGTTGTGAGATGGCACCCCGAGTCAGACTCCATGCTGGATGTAAAGCCTGCTTAAGATCCTCTCTCCTCCTCCCTCTGCCCCTTCCCCTCCTTGGTGCTCTATCACTCTCTAAAGCTAAAAAAAAAAAAAGAGAGAGAGAGAGAGAGACACTCCAGGCAAATACACATGTAACAAACAGGATGTTAAAACACAAGTCTTTCTGCTTCAATTAAGACAAAAAATATGATACACATCAATAAAAATGAGTACAAGACAGATGACCATATGCAGAATTTACAAAGAAAATGTCAATATTAACAATTCTTGGATTCCTCAAGCAAATCAGAGATAATAAAGAGGGTCAAGGTACAGAGAGAGTGGTTTTTTTTAAGAGACTCATTGATGGAAATCCCCAGCCTCCCCCAAAAGAAATGGGGTAAGTATGGAAGTGTGAAATCTTCCATCTAAAACCTTAGAATGGGCATTTCCATTGCAGTACTCCCAGATCCTAGAATGTCAATTCCCTTAGGTGGAAGATACAGTGAATGCTTCAGAATTTTAAAGTGGCTGTGGCAGCAGAATAAATGTATCTGTGCTGGGACTGCCAGGTCTAAGATGGTGAGCCATGCCAAAAAGAGAAAAAGCAAGGTTAAAATATTATTATTTATAGTGATATATTACATAATGAATTAACACTGTATTTGTAACTTAGAAGGACTAAAACCGTAAGATTGTTTTCAGAGAGGAACGAGAAATGTCTTGGACCTGTGAAAATTGCATCAAGGGTAAGGGTAAGAACACTGTCTCTCTGAGTAAGTTTTCATGGCCACAGAACAGAGAAATAAATTGTGCTTTGATTACAAATAAATTGCATATGTGAAACATCCAAATGAACCAATATTTATGATTAAAAAGGACTTGTCCCCAAATGACTTTGGGGGACCCCAGCTTTGACAAGTGGACTAAGTAAATCATAAGATCTAGTTAGTCATAGATCATCTTGTTTACAACAGGCCAGCCAAAGAAGCCAAGTCCCTAAGGTTACAGTTGTTCTTTGGTCATCAGTATTTCATCTTACTCATGGTGGTAACACAGCAAGGAGAAAACCAGTTTCTCCTAAAAGCAGAAAGCATTTGACTAAAACTTTTAAACCCAGAGCAAGTAAGAATCAGCCATAAGATCGTCTTATCAAAACAATTAGGAAATAATATTCCAAAAGTATACATCATAGGACAATCAAAGGACCACCGAATGGATAAAATATATTTGCATTCAAATATTCCTACCGTGTCTGGGTCTGATGCTTGTTCCATTTCTTTAAATTGTGTTTGTTTGTTTTGCCTTTTAATGAGCCTTCTATTTTTTTCTTGATAGCCAGATATGAGGTATTGGGTAAAAGAGACTGCTGTAAAAAGGCCTTCATAATATGGTGGTGAGGGAAAGCATTTTTTAGTCCTTTGATTAGGTCTCAGTCTTTTAATGAGCCTATGCCTCTGCACAGTAAATTTCACAAATGTTGCTTCCGTTTTTGTTGTTTTTTTTTTTTTTCTCTCTCCCCACTTAGGTGGTGGAGGATAGCTAGAGGATGCTGGAGTTAGGTATTTCCCTTCCCCCAGGTCAACTAGTCTCTGATAATACCCCAGCAAGTTAGACTCCCATTAAACTAGTTTCTCCTGAGGGCACACCTTCTTAAGAAGAGCAGAATGCTCGGAGTATTTCAAAATGTTTCCTTTGCCCCTCCCCCTGCAGGAAGCCTGACGGATTTATTCTCCCATATTTGCTGTAGAAATCTGGTAATGTTTCTGGAGGTAAATCTCACATATTGTGGGCCCCCTGCCTATGACTGGGGCCTCTATGGTTTTTAACACTCAGAATTGTCCATCCTGAACCTCTAGCAATTTGTCAGTTATAGTTCAGGTTTTCCTACCCTGGCACTGGTTCCCCGGTTTCTATTCTATGGAACTTTATGCCCTGTTTTTGCTTGACTCTGCAATCTTGGGGACAGTAGTTTGTTCTGTGTCTCCCTGCCCCCCGACCTATAGATCCCAGAATTGTTGATTTTTTAGTCTATTCTGCTTTTTACTTGTTAAGACAGAGTGGCAACTTCCAAGCTCCGTATATGCAAACCAGAGACTGGAAGCCTTAAATAGATTTTAATCTCTTCCAGCACTATACAAGAAAACTTAACCCCTAATGCTCTTAATCAATAGCATCCTTGTGCTTACTTCGGCAGCACATATACTAAAATTGGAAAGATACAGAGAAGATTAGCATGGCCCCTGAGCAAGGATGACAGGCAAACTCCTGAGGCATTCCATATTTAAAAAAAAAAAAAATAGTAACCTTGACTTTGACCTTTTAGCACTCTTCTCAAAGGTTACAGTGAGAGTGAGGCAGGATGAATGCCTCTAAAATGCATTTAAAAGACCTGTCCTCTAAACCATAACTTAGCAGAAGAGAGAGGGCTTGAATGAAAGCAGAGATTAACAGTTTTCTTCATTTTACTACATTGATTAAACAGCAACTAATTCAGTATTGCTATAATCAGGTTCAGGGTACAAGTTCAAAAGAGCTCAAAAACTGAAATTAAAAATGAGCATATTGATCCTTATCACATAACTTTCAACCAAAGGCTTCTATCTTCACCATATATATAAATTCTTATTTCAAGAACACAAGGGGCTCTTAGTTTTAGTTATTTTCTAGTACCTGGTCCAATGTTCAAAAAGCATTCAGTTTAGAAAACCATGGTTTTGAACCCAAGTCACCATGGCCATGAACATCACAGTATTCTTAAAATTCTGAGGACATCCTCCTAATCATTCTGAACAGAGACAACTCCAAGCAAGCAAGCAAGCATTGCTTATTAACTAAAGCATGCAAGGAGAACAGATAACTACTGTCATTGGAGTATATATATATAT